GCAGCCTCCCAGATGCCTCCAGAATTCACTCTCAGCTTGTTCCCCTGCCTGTCTGGCTAGGCCTCTGGCAGGGAAGAGTCCTGGGCATGCCTGGCTACAGACTGGTGTCTGGACTGAGTCAGGGAATGCTGGCGAGGACCAGAGTGGTAGCAACAATGGGGGATCTGTCCAGCAACTGGGTGTGAGGTGGCATGGGCAGTGGGTCATTTGTCAGTCTGGGGCCTCCCTAACCCCAAGCCCTGCCAGAAATAGAGAGCCGTCAACCAAAGCAACGTGGGGCTGGTTGGTATGAGCCTCTGCTGCCCTCTGATGGTCAGATCAGGGCAGTGCCTGTGAGCAGCTGATGATGGCCTGTCCTGTACCCTGCAGCACTATACCTCAGATGCAGATGGACTCTGCACTCGGCTCATCAAGCCAAAGGTCATGGAGGGCACAGTGGCAGCCCAGGATGAGTTCTTCCGCAGTGAGTGCCACCCCCATCCCCAGTCCTCGCTTGCCTACTTGCCTCCTGCTACCCAGGCTTCTTGGCACTTCCCATCCCAGGTGCTCTAGAGACTTCCAGGGATCCCCACACACTATAGTCGGCCTCTGTCTCTCCTGCTGTGAACTCTGCTCCAGCCTCAACACCCCTCACTGGACCCCTTTCCTTCTACCAGGTGGCTGGGCGCTGAATATGAAGGACCTGAAGCTGCTACAGACCATTGGGAAGGGGGAGTTTGGAGGTGAGCAAGAGGAGTTGGGAGCCCTTCGAGGGGCCGAGGGACTGTGGGGAGTCTGGGAATAACACCAAACACTCTCCACACAGATGTGATGCTGGGCGATTACCGAGGGAACAAAGTCGCTGTCAAATGCATTAAGAACGATGCCACTGCCCAGGCCTTCCTGGCTGAAGCCTCGGTCATGACGTGAGTTGGGTAGGGGGTGTATGGGAAGGTTGCGATGAGGGGTAGGGGTGAGATGGCTCGGCAGGCTCTGATCACTTCATCCTGCCCCAGGCAACTTCGGCATAGCAACCTGGTACAGCTTCTGGGCGTGATTGTGGAAGAGAAGGGCGGACTCTACATCGTCACCGAGTACATGGCCAAGGTGTGCACCAGCCCCAAGAGTCACCCCTGTGCTGGAGCTGAACACGTGGGCTTTCCAACTGCCTCAGGCCCCCGCTGTATCGTTGGGCCCTGCTCTCAGTCCCCTCTTTCCAATTGAGTTCTGAAGTCCCCACAGCTCAGCTTTTGTCCTGGCTCATCATTGTTCACTTCGATGTTGGACAAATTGCATTGCCTCTAAGCTCCGTTTTCTCACCTGTGAAATGGAGATACTAACAAAGTTTACCTCAGAGAGTGATGAGAATTAAAAGAGAATGCTCAGCAGTGTCCAACTGTAGAACCTAGTATTCATGTCACTTCCTCCATGTTCCTCTCCTTTCCTAACACCTTCCTTGGGTGTCACCCTTTACCCAGCCTCGGGTCCACTGTTCCCAAGGGCTAGAGGGCAAGTCTAACCTGTGGGCCATGGTCTGTCTCTCCTGCCCCAGGGGAGCCTGGTGGACTATCTTCGGTCACGGGGTCGGTCGGTGCTGGGCGGAGACTGTCTCCTCAAGTTCTCACTGTGAGTGAAGCAGCCCCTGGGGGAGGGGCCCTACCCTGCTATGGGAAGCCTATCTGAGGGGACTTGTGGCTGCCTCGCCCCTAGAGACGTTTGCGAGGCTATGGAATACCTGGAAGGCAACAACTTTGTGCACCGGGACCTGGCTGCCCGAAATGTGCTGGTGTCTGAGGACAACGTGGCCAAGGTCAGCGACTTTGGCCTCACCAAGGAGGCCTCCAGCACCCAGGACACAGGCAAGCTGCCAGTCAAGTGGACAGCCCCCGAAGCCCTGAGAGAGAAGGTGGGTGGGCCTCCCCCTATATCCTGAGCAGTGGGGACAGGGGTCCTGGGTCACCCTACCCCCAAATTTCCAGGGTCTGACACAGCTTTTCCCATCCACATGGCAGAAATTCTCCACCAAGTCTGACGTGTGGAGTTTCGGAATCCTTCTCTGGGAAATCTACTCCTTTGGGCGAGTGCCTTATCCAAGAATTGTGAGTGTGGGCACTGGGGTGGGACCTGGCTGGGGCTATGGGAGGGGTAGGCCTGGTGTGGGGCCTCCCTGGACCCTGCCTCCCTAGTCTGAGGCCTAGAAGCTTGCTCTCAGGACCTTCCAGGCCACTTCCTGGGCCTGGGTGTGAGGCAGAGCTAAAGGGGACCCCTGAAGAGGGATGCTGAGTAGAGATCCCCTCCAGGGGTTAGGCCCTGCACAGATTCATGCCACCCATCTGCCCTCAGCCCCTGAAGGACGTCGTCCCTCGGGTGGAGAAGGGCTACAAGATGGATGCCCCTGACGGCTGCCCGCCTGCAGTCTACGAGGTGATGAAGAACTGCTGGCAGCTGGACGCCGCCACACGGCCCTCCTTCCTGCAGCTCCGAGAGCAGCTCGAGCACATCAAAACCCACGAGCTGCACCTGTGACGTCTGGGCTCGCACAGGTCATGGGCCTCTGGGGACTCAACCTGAGAGACTGGACCTCGTGCCCCTACTCACTGGGCCTAAGCCGGAACTGAGCCCAGTGGACCTCTTTCCTCTGTCCTAGCCTGTGCCCCCCCTGGCCCCCTCAGGGACCCCGCCTAGGCCCGGCACCTCTCATGGACCCACCTGTGGGATTTGGGGAGTCCCGCTGAAGGCCAAGAAGAGAGGAGGGTGAGGAGCAGGAGGCAGATGCCCCACCATGGTCAGGCTTCCCTGGCCTCCCATCTCTCACCTTCCTAGAGTTTTATTCCTTTCCTTTTTTGAGGTTCTTTTCCATGTGCTTATTTTTTATTATTTTTCACGATAAGAAGAAAGAAAGTACCCAGGAAATGGGCATTTTACAAGAAGTACGAATCTTATTTTTCCTGTCCTGCCCAGGGTTGGGGAAACCAGGCCCGTCTCCAGGGACCCATCGCCCCAGCCTTGTTCCCCGTTCCATGTTCTGTGTTCTGTGTCGCCTCGGTCGCCCTGTGTTTGCGCTTGACCATGTTGCACTGTTTGCATGCGCCCGAGGCGGACGTCTGTCAGGGGCTTGGAGCTTGTGTGTGCTGCTGCCGCCTGCCTTGTGAGATAGAATTGTAATAAACCACTCCATGAGGACACCACTGCCCAGCCTCAGCGCTTACTCCCTGAGCCTGCCTGCCCCCATCTCCTATTCCCATGCCATCTTGTCCATCCCCCTGTCTCTGTGAGTGGGGCTGTGCTTGCCCTGTGAGTGGAGTGGGTGGGGAGCACGGCCGGAAGAGGTGGCCACCGCTTTGTGTAAGCTGCACCCATGAGTGTCCTGTGTCTGCCGTGGGAGCTCTCACTACTGCCCTCCCCTACATTCTGCTATAGCCCCAGGCTTGGCCCTGGGACCATCTGGGCTTTGGAGCCCTATCCTCAGGGTAATGCCTGGGGTCCTGGCTGCCTCTCCTGCTGTGTTGTTCAAGCCATCAGCACAAGGAGGGCTGGAACCAAGCTTGGGGGGAGGGGGGGTAAATGAGGAGGTGCCAGCCTGACCAGATACAGATGGGGTCCCCCTGGTAGGAGGCAAAGTAAATACCTCAGAGGAGATGTTGACCTGGAGGGAGAGGGGAGGGAGGCTCTGAGCTGCTGGTGGTTCTCACAGTTCACCTGAGATGTACGCACTGCCCAGCCCCAGGCCTGAGTATGCAAATGTGAGCGGCCTCCAGGGGGCACAGATGGGGAATGAGGACTAGCCACGTAGTTCTGTACTGGCTATTGTTCCCAGGGCAATAGTCAGCACAGAACCTCTGAGGGCCAGGGGGAGGCTCACTTCATTCACTGAGACAGGAAGCTGGGGGTCTCCTTGTCCAGTTGGGGTTCTGACCCTTCCTGCTCCAGTCAGCAGGGCCTGAAATTCAGGCAGTTCTTTTTTTCTTTTTCTAAAATGTATTTGGGAGAGGGGAAGAGGGACAGAGAAGGAGAGAGAAACATCAATGTGAAAGAGAGAAACATTGATCAGCTGCCTCCAGTAAGGGCCCCCGACCAGAAATCAAACCCAAAACCTCTGACAGGACTGGAACCTGCCGCCTTCTGGTGCAGGGTAGTTACTACGCTCCAACCAACTGAGCCACGCCCGCCAGGGCTCCAGGCAGGTGACTGCAATGTGCCTGTGCCTGCACTGCCATCCAGCCAACGTCATCTCCCACCCCAGCCCCTGGCCCAGCACAGCAGCCTCCTTGCCTCCCCCAGTCTAGCCTCTCATTTTTCTAAAACTAGACCATTCAACCACAAATATTTGAAAACCTGCTGTGTGCTAGAACTGGAGTTCAGTAGTGAGCTAATACCCTGTGGAGTTCAGTTAGGAAAACAATCACAAAGACAGTTAACTACAGCCCTGGTCAGTGTGCTCAGTGGTTAGAGCATCAGCCCATACACCAAAGGGTGTGGGTTCTATTCATGGGTAAGGGCATGTACCTGGGTTGTAGATTCGATCCTGGCCTGGTAAGGGCATGTACAGACACCAACCAGTCAATGTGTCTCTCACATTGATGTTTCTTTCTCTATATTTCTCTCCTACCTCCTCCTACTCTCTCTAAGAATCAATGGGAAAAGTATCCTCGGATGAGGATTAACAGCAAAAAAAAAGTTAATTACAGAACTGGTAAGTGCTATATGAAAGAAACATGTAGTGATGGAAGGGGTGAGTGGAATGGGCCTGCCAGGGGAGAGGGACTGTCCTGGAGAGGGAGTCACGAAGCTGGGGCAAGAGTGGGTGAGGAGTTCTGGTTTATAGTCGTTGGTACTGTGGTCTAGGGCAGTGATGGCAAACCTTTTGAGCTCGGCGTGTCAGCATTTTGAAAAACCCTAACTTAACTCTGGTGCCGTGTCACATAGAAATTTGTTGATATTTGCAACCATAGTAAAACAAAGATTTATATTTTTGATATTTATTTTATATATTTAAATGCCTTTTAACAAAGAAAAATCAACCAAAGAAATGAGTTCGCATGTCACCTCTGACACGCGTGTCATAGGTTCGCCATCACTGGTCTAGGGGATTTTGACAATGGGTTCTCACTAGCTGCTCCAACCCGGCTTGGTTCAGAAATGAAATGGTGCCAGTCATGAGAGGGGCCAGGCAGGCACCCTAACACAACTGGGAGTAAGAGAAAGGGTCCAGCTGATGGGGCCCTGAGGGAATGCAGGCCCAGGTAGCCGGATGTTCCTATTCTTTCTACCTGTTGGCATGTGAGCTTCCTTTATTCTCCCCTTTCTCTCACTTGGTTTATAGTTTTTTGTTTTCCCCTTTCTTTCACCCTCTGCTCTGTGCTGGCCACTGGCTCATCATAGATGAGCAAGACATACTTCTCTCCCTCCAGGAGCTCAAGGACAGGTGGGGACTCCACTCAAGACTCAATTTAGTGCCCAGAATCTGGTAGGGGTTTCCAACAGCCCACAACAAGCCTGTGAGACAGAGGAGGGGGAGGTGGGGAGCAGCTTCTCAGACACTTGGAGGACAAGCAGGGACAGAGCAAGTGTCTGGCAAAGACGGCATTGCCTAGCAAAGGTGGTGAGGTGCTTAAGTGTGGCTGGGGCAGAGGTGCCAGGGGTGTGGTTTGGGAGCAAGTAAGGCTGAAGAGAAAATGGCCCAGACCCACCTGGTTTTGCAGGCCCCACAAGGAGTTTAGCTTCATGCAGAGATGACCAGGAGCAATAAAGGGTTTAGGACAGAGGAATGACATGGTCAGATCTGTATTTTAGAAATATCCTTCTGACTACCATCTGGCCTTGGGGGTATGTACCAAGTGGAGACAGGGAGACAAGTGGGGAGGTTGCAGTCAGCCAGGCAGGTGATTGGTGGTGTCCTGGGCTGGGGGAGCCTGTAGGAGGTGGAGAGGAAGAGGAACACAGCTGTCTGTCAGGCCCTGTTCTAAGCACAATAGGTAGGTGTATTACCTCATGTAACCCTCCAAACAACTCTTGGAGATACTATTATTCATTTTACAAGTAAGGAACCGAGGCTTGGAGAGACTCGGGAACAGTAGTGGGAGAGGGGAAGAGCTTGCTGATGGGTGATGAGAGGAGGAAGCAGAAGGGATCTGCGGGGTTCCAGTCTCTGGCTCCATAAGATAAGAGTGCCACCCACGAGACCCCAGCCACAGAAGAGGATGGGCTGAGGGGTGGAGAAGAGGAGTTTGGTTTGGACATGTCACCTGGGGGTCTGGGGGCATCCAAGCAGAGTTGTCCCCTGCAGAGCTGGACATTTATTCGGGCCTGAGGCTCCAGGAGAAGATGAGCTGAAAGTGGAGATTTGAGGATCATGGCACAGCTATAGTGCTTGAAGCCATGGGCATGGACAAGCTTGCCAGGGAGCATGTGGTGAGTGAGGAGAGATGCCCAATGGAAGGGCTGGGGAGGCAGAGCAGTGGCAAAGGAGCTCCAGGGCAGCCAGGAAGCTGGGGGGCAGCAGGGAGCCTTGGGCAGGTTTGGGCGTGGGGGACATATCCATAGCATTTCACATTGCAGAGACTGGGTTCAGAAGTATCCACTAGGCACAGAGAACAGGGCCACTGCCAGGCCTTGCTGGATCAGTTTTTACCCAATGGGCAGCAGGGGCAGCAGCTGGGAAGATCAGATGGGAAGTGAAGAAGCAGGACCCGGGTGGGGCCCAAGCTTTCCACAGCTTGGCTGTGAAGGTGCAGGAGAAAGCGAGTGAAGGTGGTTGAGGATTTAGTGTTGAGAAATGAAGTGTGGCTTTCAGCATGTCCTAAATTTTTCCATTTACAGCCTTGATTTTAATTAATCTCAGAGCTTCAGTAACTGAATCCTACCAAGAACTTACAAACTACAGTAAACCTCAGCTATCCAGAATTCTCGGAAAAAGAGCCACTCTGGAAAACCAACATTTATCTGGATAAAAATACTTGACGTACAGGATTACTTACTTTTTTAAATGTGCTTATTATGGAAATTATCAAACAGAAAAGTCAAGGGAAGAATATAATGAACCCACCATCCAATCTGAAGAGTAATCGATTCAAGGCCACATGCTGTGCCACCCACACACCCATGGTCTGGGGTATTTGGAAGCAGATCCTAGACACTATATCGATTCCTTCAGAAAGCTTTAGTACATTTCTCCAAAAGACAAGACTTTAAAAATATAACCACAATATTCTTACTCCAAAATATTTAATAATTTCTTAATTTAATCCAATATCCATCGTCAAAATCTCCCCAATTGTCTCATTCACTCCTCCACCCCCCTTTAGTTGGTTAAAATTAGGCTTCAAACAAGGTTTACATATTGCATTTGTTTGTCTCTTTCTATTTTCATGTAGTTTATTTGTTGAGAAAACCAGGCTGCTTGGAGGCATGAGCCTTTGGGAATCTGGTAGAGAGCTGAGCATGACAATGAAGAGAGCAGGACAGGGAAGGATGGAGTGGATGCTGGCCACACAGTCAGGACATCCACCTGCAGGACAGAGGCAGCAGGCAGCATGTGGAGGCCCTTCCTGAGCCAAGAGGAGAGACCAGGGCTACTGAAGGGTGGGCTTGTCCCTGTGATCTCTGAGGTCCCTCAGATGGGGGAGCTGAGGGAAGGTGGGAAGATGGCTTGAACCTAGGAGCAGGGGCAGAGCTCAGGCTGGCCAAGTGAGGGAGGGGCAGGGCCTGAGATCAGGCCCAGAAGGAACAGAATGTCTGTGTGGGGAGGGAGGGAGAGTGGAGTACCAACAGCCAGTATCCAGCTCCTTCCCACCTGCCCATCCCTGGATCCCCTCTGTGGCCTCCCAGGTAGGGATCCACCCTGGGCCCAGACACCAGATCTTTTTACAGTACCTGTGGTCAGTGGCCCTGATCCCTTGCTCTGCCTTCCTCCTGCCCCTGACCCCCCACAGCCCTGAGGGGTACCATCCTCCTCAGTGAAAGTTTGAGTACAATCTCAGCTTCAAAGGACCAAGGCTAGCATTGCCTGGGGCTGGCATACCATTCTGGAGCCCTCATGGAGTGAAGGATGGAATGGGGACCAGCCATGCTCAGGATTCCTCAGCATGCTGAAGCAGCTGACCACTAGGGGTGGCTGTGACTTGGTGAGGAGTGGGTCTGCCAATACCAGCCTCTGCCCAAGATGAGTCCAGGCAGGCGGTGCCAGGGACTCCAGACCCCTCCCAGACTTGTCTCCTGTTCCACCCACTACATCAAAGCCCTATCCACCGCCTCCGTTTCTCCTCTCTGCCTCTTTCCTTCTGTGCCCTAGGGTTTCTCTCTCCTTCCGCCTCTTCTTTGATGAACCTCCACACCCCTAACCCCTCCCTCTTGAACCCATGAACACACACACACATGCTCACATGCCGAGTCCCAGACACAGAGACACAAGGCAACTTGGATCAGCACAAACCTCTACTCTCCTAGCTCCACACTGCTGGGCCTATGGCCGTCCAGGAGAACCAGGAGGCTGCCTGGAAGAGGGCTCTTCATGGCTGGCTGTTTTGCCAGAGAGACACCAGCTCTGCCCTGCATGTGTGCTGGGTGAAGCATGTATGAGAACATCTCACCCACAGGTCTGTGTTCAGGGCCTTCCAAACCCGGACCTACAAAAAATCTGTCTTCTACCTAATGTTCAATAAGATTTTTGAGGACTTACCAGGACCTATGCAATAGACAGGAGTTTTAACTAGGAGTGAGCAAGAAGAATGAGGCTTGTGGTTGGGGCTGAGACATAAAATGAGTTCAGGAAGATGGCTTGTTACCAAAACATAGGTCTGCCCAGGTTATACCAAGATCTGCATACCCTTCAGAGTTGGGCCATGAATCTTGTTCAGAGCTTCCTAGCAGGCAAAGCAAACAGAAGAAGATCCATTGTGTATTTCTGTGTCTATGAGATCTAAGTTCTGAAAAATGGCACTATTCCTGAGACCAGAACAAATGTCCCTTTAAGATGACAGTTCCTATCTTGGGGTCTTGGCCCAATCCTGCTCACAGAAGCACCAAGAGGCAAACAAAGGAGTGGCTGTTTCTCACAGCATCAAGCCAGGCTCTGCCTCAGAGCCAGGGTGGCAGGGCCTATACCACACTTACCGCGGTGGGCCTTGATAAGTTTGGGGTGTCACAGACCATGTGGAAGAGCAAATTACCCAGGGTATGCTCATTGTCCATTTATTCATTCATTGATCTTTTTATTGGACTCCCTCCCCATGTCCCTCTGTGCCCAGCTCTAAGACAAAGGGCTGTATCAGACACAAGGAGCTCACAGTTCCATGAACAATCTACATACGGCACAAGGCATGAGTGTAGTAGACAGTGAGCAATCCTTGCCTCCTCTAAGTCACTTCAGAGGCAGTGGTGGCTTCCAAGGGCCCCCAGGATTTCTGGCCTTGCAGCTTCTGAGCTTCCCTGCCCCCAGCCCTGGCCTTTGCCAAGCTAAGAGGCTAGAATAGCATCTCTAGAAAGTCCTGGCAGGGATTGGGACCTGGGCCAGGTTCCAGTCTAGCAGGATGGAGGGGTGGGGAGCCAGCTGGGGTGGGGTCTCTGACCTCCCTTTCCCTGGTTCCGGCCAATCCTGTCTCAGTTTCTCTCCACTTTCTTCTGTTTTACAAAATAGGGCTCCTTTGTCCTCCTCACCTCCACCAATGATAATTCTCACATACATACACTCCATCCTTCCCCCTTCCTTCTCAATCTTGCAGGCTAATTCTACCTTTGCTTTCATGCTTTCCTCACCTATTTCTTCCCCTTAAACTCCCCCACCAGGAACCTCCCCCCCACCCCCACAGTCTCATTGGGAACACTGGCGTCCTCCACATGGTTAATTCTCTCAAAGTGCTCTCCTATGTTCTATGGTCTCAGACATGTCCTTTCCCTCGTAGGGCCTTAGTTTCCTCATCTGAGAAACAGAACGGGTTAGACACAAAGCTCTCTCCTGGTGGAAAAAGCTTGTATTTTGGAGTTAGATGGATCTGAGTTCCAACCCACTTAATTCCTTAACTTTTCTGAGCCTCGGTTTTCTCATCTGTAAAATGTGGTCTGATAAAAACAGACTTGTGGTGAGGCTCAAGTGAGAAGGCAAGCAGAGCGCTCTACATGGTGTGGCATGCGTGGCCCTCCCCTATGCTAGGCTCCAATGCCCACTTCTTCAGTGGATTCCTGTGTCTGACCAGCCAGCCTGGTATTTAATGGCAAGCCTTGATGTTACCTGCTTCCTTCTCCCAGAGCCCAGCCAGGCCAATGAGAGAGAATAATGGGGAGGAAGGGAAGGTGGGGCCCAGGCCCTGATTTGCCCTGGTCCACAGACACCATCCAGAGGAAGTGCGCTGGCCCCATCCATATGGAACTGAAGTGGCGCAGTGTAGAGCAGGGCCCCTGTCCTCTTCTCTGGCTGGCAGGCGGACATGCAGATGAGAGTGACTGGGCCAGGGCACCAGGGAGCCCAGGTCCTGGTGAGTGGCCCCCAGCAGAGAGGGGGAGTCAGGGAGGTGAGTCGTGAGCCCGCGGTTCCAGTGTCCCACAGGGGAGTTGAGCAGCTGGGGACCCATAGACTGTGTAGTACACCAGGGGCCAAGAGCAGGGGCCAAGTCAGCTCTGCGCTGGTGGAGCCTGCCTTGAGGAATGGCCTTGGAATCCTCTTCGACTCCTCATTCCAAGATACCCAGGTGAGTAATGGTCTTCTGCCTGCCCACACCTACACCCTCCTCCTTGTGTCCACTGGTCAACGCATGGATAGCCCTGCCATCCATGTGCTGACCAGTGAAGAGCACATCCCCTGCAAGCCTGTCTGGACTGACACCTACTCCCATTCCTGGGCTGTATCCACACTGCCCGCTCGTGCCCCTGCCCCAGCCTCTGACAAGGAGCCCACCCCTCCTAGGGCTATCTTTTCCTTGCTCATCTGAGCTGATAGCTCAAAGGTAGTGCCTCCCTGGAACTCCCTCCCACTCAGTCCCAGCTGTGCCTCCTCTGGGCCCAGGAGCAAAGTTGCTTGTTCTTCCTGGGAACCACCCCAGAGAATCCTTCATTCATTCAACCCAGCAGCTCCAGATCAGTGGGGGTAGTGAAATGAAGCAGGTGAGGTCTGTGCTGAGTGTCTTCTCTCATGTCATCTCATCTGATGCACAACATTCTTGAGAAGTGGGGACTGTTCGTCCCAATTACAGGTGGATACATTGAGGCCCAGGGAAGTGAAGCGACTTGCCTGAGGTTGCACAGCTGTGTGCTGACCTGAGATTTGAGGCCAGACTTGCTGATGGAGGGTCCACACCCTCCTCCCTGTGCCAGCTGCCTGTCAGCGCCCTTCCCTTTCTCCAGAAGACGTGGCTTCCCCTCCCTCTCCAGCTCACTGCCTCCTCAGCAGCTGGGCCAGTTCGCCAGTGTCTCTCAGCAAACATCCCTTAGCTCGTAACCATTTGAATAATTGCTGACATTTATGGAGCAGAGCTTACTGTATGCCAGGCACAGCACCGTTCATTGTCTGAGTTAACCCTCATAACAATGTTATGAGGTAGTTTCGATTATTATTCTCCTTTTAAAGATGAGGAAGTGGGAGTTTGGAAAGGTGAGGTAACTTGCTCATGGTCACAGCTAGGAGGCATATGCAGGTGGCTGCTTGGAGCTGGCTTCTCCCTGCTCTGTGTCACCTTCCTCTGAAGGTGGCACTGTCAGGCATTGTGCTATGAGCAGTACTGTGGTGGGCTGTTTCTGTTTCCCGCGACCCGCACGGGAAAACGACAGGTTCTTGAGCGGAGGAGCTGGGGATTAAGAAATTAAAGAAAGACCATGATGTAGAAATAGATTTTAAGCTGGGGCCAGGTGGGCGCCATCCTCTCTGATGGAGAGGCGGCAAAAGGCGGCCTGAGACACACAGCAGGTTTATTTTAAAGGCCTAGATTTACATATCTAGTTCCGCCCCTGCCTGATTAACATGTCCAGCCTTATTGGGGAAGCATGTTCCCAGGGCGTGGCTGCCTATGCTCTGAGTTCAGCTGACAATAATTTTAAGAAAATCCCTAGGTGCCTCCCAGGCGGCCCTCTACACAGTACCTGTGGTCTGTGTGCACAGAGAAACTCAGGGCCTCTCAGGCTCAACACCCTCCCCTAACTCCCCAGAACCTGCTGTACAGCCCTGCGGGACAGGCAAGCTGGTCATATTGTCCTTGTCCATTAGGAGACATCTCATGTTGTCTGTCCTGAGTCTGTCCTGCTACAGTCCAAGCTTGGCAGAGGGACAGGAAAGAGAAGCCCTACCCAGAGGCAAGGGGGGACTTGGGGTTTAAGGAAAGGGGAAAGAGCGAGGGACAGTGGGAGGAGGTGGTGGGTCTGGGGGATTGAGTGCAAAACTCCACATTGGGTCCAGCCTCTGTCCTCCTGGGAAAGTCCCAGAAAGAATTTGACCTCTTCTGTGAACTCCAAGTCCCTGTACTTTGCCAGGCAGGGCTTGTTCTCCTGCCTCTCCCTCTTCTGCTAAGGAGTAGACATACAAGGGAGACTCCAGCTTGACCACAGGGACATGTCCCAGCAGGTCATCCAGTGGGGGAAGTGGCACTGCTGGCCTGGGAAGAATGGCCTCTGGGACCACACCCACTGTCCAGCCCTTGGGTCCTGGATGGCCCTGCTGGACTCTAAGTCCCCACAGAGATGGAGCCAGCTGGGTGCTGGGCTCTCATTACCACAACTTCTGGAACCGGCCATACCCCTTCCAAGCAAGCTCGCCTACTAGGCGCAGGGTCTACTCATGAGCAGGTCCTATTCACACACGGCCTCTTTTGCTTTTGCAGGTTTTACAAACATACAGGGTGTGCAGGTTACAGGCTCAGAGCTACAGAGATACTGTGTAATCTGTTGTTCGTGGCCTCAACTGATTTGTGCCTGACACCACACAGGGCCCCTGGAACACATGGGCAGCACATACATGGATCCTCTTCCCTACACAGAATCCTAACTGGCCCAAAGCACATACCTGTGAGGGCTAACATGAGACCAGGTGTGCAAACCGCTCCATGCCATTCTGACACCAAGTCCTGTGGCTGCCTGCCCCCGTTTAGGGCCACAGGACCCAGACACTCAGATTTGGGGATAATTTTCCCTGCCACAAGCAAAGAGGAGGGGGGCCCATCTGTAAGGTTTTCACCTCCTTCCGTGCCCCTCAGGTGTCCTTGAACACTCCCAGAGACCTGGATTTGGTCTGCATTGATGTGGGACCCCTGCTTTTGGCTCCTGGAAGTTTCTTTGGGGTCTCAGCAGCCACCAGAACCCTGGCAGGTGAAAACAGAGGAATGTGCCTAATGAACCATCTGAGCATACCTCCTGAGGAGCACTGGGTGTGTTGCCAGCCACTTCCTCACTGTGTGACCTGGGCAAGTCACAAGTCCTCTCCTGCCTGCCTTGCAGAGTTGTTGAAAGTCTCAAATGGGATAAAACACAAGAAGCTTTTATCCCAGCGTTGGCCCCATAAGTGCCCCTTGCTGGGAGTTGTGGGGCAAGTGGAAGAGGGGATAGCCGTGAGGGATGTTTAGGGAAATGGAGCAAAGGATATAATGGAGAGTCCATGGAGGGACCCATAGTTGGTGCAATCAGACAGTGGGAGTTCGTGAATGCCAAGACTTCAGTCTTTAGACTCTGGGCACTGGGGAGTCATTGAAGGTTTCCGAGGAGAGTGACATGGTCAGAGTCATGTTGAGGAGGTAGCCACCATGTGGTTGCTTTTGTCAGTAGTTCCCTGGGGCCTTAGTGTGTTGCTCGGTCTGCTTCCATGGCTCTAGTCCAGAATTGCCTAATTTTCCTACTCACTGGGGGCCCAACTCTGGCTGGTGGGGGATGTTGACCCTCACAGACCACCCATCTGCTTGTCTGACCCTCATACCTTTCTTCTGAAATAAGCCAGACAAGGGTCAGAGCTACCTCAGGTCACACAGATCTTTTGCCTGCCTGAAACATAATGGAGCCTGGGAGGTGAGGACTAAGTGAGTGGGCTGCTGGGAATGGAAGATCTTCCCTTCTCTTCTCTATCCCCTTTTCCAGATTACCATGATGTCTTGTCCTATCTGACCTCAGTCTGAAAGGTCCAGAGGTGATATCAGCCATGGGCCCACATTGGGGGCAGGGCTGGGGGAGAGGCAGCTCAGGGACTCCTTCCCTCCCTAGATGCTTCTGCTCATGTCATGGTGCCATCAGACCTGATATTCCAACCATTATCTCTACCTGCTCTCTGAGTTTTGCTCAGGCCAGGTGTTGTGCTGGGCAGTGCTGGGATCAGAAGTGACCTAGAGCCAGGCCTTGTCCTCAAGGACCTTGGAGGCTGGCTGAAGGCTGTGGGAGCACAGAAAAGGGGTCCTAACCACCCAGGGCAGCCGGAAGGGCTGCAGGCAAGGTTGGCCCTGGGCACCAGGGAAGACATGATTCCAAAGCTGAACTCCAAAGACCAGGAAGAGGGTAGGGGCCCAGGGAGAGGCAGGTAGGGAAGGGGCCCATTTGAGTATCATAGGATACTCTTCCCTTCCAACCAGGAGTCCTTTAACCAATGGGGAGATGGAGGCTATATCTAAGCAGTCCCTGAGGCCTAGATGCTCTCTCCTATTCCCACCCCACCACCCAGACACATCTTTCCAGGGGAGTTTTGGAGGCAGAAGCCATGCCTTCTGTCCCCCTCTCCAAAAAGCCCCCATAGATAGGATTCATTGCCCCATCCAGCTGTCTAGCTGTCCCAGCTCTGCACCAATCCCCAGGGGAACGAATCTTTGACCTGGAGGAGACATTGAACAGACACAAGAAGATCCTGCAGGGTCTCTCTGAGCACTTGGCCCAGGCTGAGAGGGAATGGAAGCAGCAGTAGGATCCCTAGGTCAGGCCAGGCCTGAGGGAGCCTGGATGAGTGGCCCCTGGAACATCCATGCAGACCTGAAGAAGCTGAGCTCCCTAGGCACTGGGCCCCATGGCACCAGGGGGCTCCCTGTGTCCTGAAAGAGGAACAAGCTCTATACTTGGGAACTATTGTCCTTCAAGGTCTGGAGGGAAAGGAGGGCAAGGGTGAAATGCTGCAGGTCACAGGATGGGATGGACTTGCCAGGCAGGGGATTGTGCAGGAGGGTAACACAGCACAAGCAAATGCCCAAGGAGCCACACAGCTGGGACTGGGGAGAGGAGATGCCAGGTATTTGGACATAGGTCCTTAGACAAGTAACAAAAGTAGACTGGGTTCTAATTTGCATGTAGTTCCACATGTGACTTGATTCACATATGACTTGCTTAATGCTCAGAAGAACCAGAGTCCTCGTTTCATCTCCACTGCCATCTTGTCTTCTCTCCATGGCCTTCCAAACCTGAAGCTTGAGAGTTGAACCAGCCAAGATGTTAGATACTGGGCAGAAGAGGCCAGTGATTCCCGTGGGATTTGCTGGGCTCTGGTAGATCAAGGTTTGAATCTTGTGTCCTCAGGCCAGAGCAACTGAGGCTGGGCTACTGGCGTGGTACCACACTCCAAGGCTAGGCCTCTCTAATCTTATTTCCAGGCCCAGGATCCTTCCTGCCAGATCCTATCCACCCCAGAGAGGCAATCTCTCTAGGCCACTCAGCAAGACAGGGGTTCAAGCATTGAGCTTGAGTTGACTGGCACTGGCCACAGTTTGGACTGTGCCCCAGGGGAAGTGGGGAGGAGAGGACTGAACTGGGCCTCTGCTCCTTCAGGGGCAGAACCCTTTCTAGAAAGTGGAGGGGTTATGAGAAACCCCAGGAGTGACCACTGTCTGGGGGAGAGGGTTTTGAGAGGAGGGGGAATCCAAGAGCTGAGATAGACAGGGGTCAGATAAATTCAATGTGTCCATAATGAGGGGGTCAGGTAATCTGGTAAGGCCTCTAGAAGGAAGAGGGCTGCAGTGCCCTAGAAAGGTGGACTCTGAGAGCAGAGGGGCTGTGCCCTGGCCCCTAGAGAAGAGGCTTGCTTTCCTGCAGGACTCTGCCAGGGTCAGCACCCTGTTCTGTGGACAGCAGTGGATTCTGCTCCAAGATCTGTAAGAGATGAGGTAAGGGCACAGGACTAGGAGGGTTTATGAGGGTGGAGGAAAGAGAAGCCCCATTCCACCAACACCCACTGGACATTCTTACCCCAGGGAGGGATGGTAAATCTGAGCTCCTGGAAGGAGAGGACATTTTGATAGGGTTCTTGGAGGAAGCACAACCAATATCAGGCCTAGTGATGGTAGGAGGCCCCTGACTTTTTTTTTTTTGCCCCCTCCCATCTCACAGCATCCCACTCTAGGACAGGTCTCTGGAGCTACCCATAGAGCCCTGGGAACAAGGGGTTACCTGATACCAGGGAGGAGGGAGGCTTCAGGCTGGATGCTATGGCTGCAGCCCAATCCCTGTCCCCGCTCTCTAGACTGGGAGTGGGAAGAAGGGACGAGGGAAAAGAGCTAAATCTCCTGAGGACTAGGGATGGAAGGCAGAGCCCAGGGAGCCTGGGGTTGAGACAGATAGCTTTAGGGAGATCCTTCACTGAGCTAAAGCTGTCTTGGGAACCAGAAAGGAGGTTTGGGGTAAGAACAGCTCACAAGAAGGGGCCCTATAGATGGTGCCTGTTCCCCACCCAGGTGCTGCCTCTGGGAATTATGAGACCTGGTCAGGCAGCTTGGATGGGACCAGAATGCGTAATGAGTCCTCTGCCTTGGTTTCTACTCCCCACTGGGATGCAGTAACCCACATGGCTTCAAGAGCCCAGGTCTTCTACCTGCCTGTGGGCAACAAGCATCATCTTAGAGCTGGCTCAGATCCTGAGCCTCCTGCAGAAGGCCTTCGGGCCCAGTAATAAGGGGGAAGGAAGGGGAACCACGGGGGTTCCATCCATGAGACCCAGGCTCAGCTCCTTCTCCAAATTCTGAGCCGCAGGCTGTCTTGTCTTAATCCTTCAATCCTTGGATCCCTGAAAGGCAAACCTGTGTCTGTATCTGTGTGTGCATGCACACATGCACACAGGACAAATCTCATCTTCTCTCTACCCTGTCTGCTCTCTGGAGAGTCTCACAGACTCTCAGTGCCAGGAAGGCTCTGGAGACCACTTGGTCCAACTCCCTCAGTGACTGGAAGAGAAATGGGAGTGGGCTATGCCTAAGATCATTCAGAGCAGCCTGCTCTTCCCCATACCCCTGCCCCATCTTGCTCTTTCCCTTGCCTTTACCACCCACCCTGTCTTTTGCTCTCTATTTCTCTCTCTCTCTCATCTCAAGAACCATTGGTCCTCTACTGATCCCAGGCCCCAGGCCTTCCCAGCTGTTCCCACAGATGGAGACATGGAAGCTGGGGAAGGCAGCTTTGCACTCTGCTCCCTCTCCAAGTGCCCTGGATGAAAACCATAGCACCCCAAGCCTGAGAGAGAAATAGAACCCACAATGGCCCAGATTCCAGGTCCCCTTCCTCCTTCTGGGTAAGAAGCTGATCCAGGACCATAGAACTTCCCCTTTCAGAAAGCAGCAGCCAAGGAACCATGCCCAGCTGGCCATCCCCCAGGGCCCTCCTCGTGCCTACAGCCCAGCATCTTTCTGTTCTTCCTCCTCATCTTCCTTTTTGTTCTTCTATGTGCACTTCAAGTGGGCCTTCCTATAGGCAGAACTTTCCACACCTACCCGGCTTGGTTCTGGGCATAATAATTTGATTTGAGAGAGGGAGCATTAAGACCCACCTGCCTGTTCTACCAGCTGGCAATGAGCAGTGCCCATATTTTCAATAGGCACTACTAACCATGTGCTCAGCCACTGGTTCCATCTAGATCCTGCCCTCACAATAATCTCTCTCTAGTGTGAGAAACTGACAAGTGCCTGATAGTCACACCCTATGTGGTCAGTGCCATGATGGCAGGAAGCTCAGGGGCCATATAACAGTACAAGAAAAAGCACCTGACTCAGCCTGGGGAGATCAGGGAACTGGCCTAGAAGGGACCTTTGATACGGGTCATCAAGGCAACTAGTTCTCCAACCTGATAAGTACAGTCATCATTACAGAGAAAACAGCATGAGGAAAGGCATGGAAGCATGAAAGAACACAATATTTTGGAGAAAAAGTGGCAAGTTTAGAACTATCAGAGCAAAGGCTGGGACCAATTTGTGAAAATGGGCAAAAAGAATCACAAAGGTTGCCTAGCCTATGAACCAGGAGGTCATGGTTCAATTCCTGGTCAGGGTTTGCAGGCTTGATCCCCAGTGTGGGGCAGCTGATCAGTGACTCTTGTCATTGATGTTTCTATCTCTCTCTCCATCTCCCTTCTTCTCTGTAATCAATAAAAATATATTTAAAAAGCCACAAAGGTTGGGTGGAGGTCACTATTTCTGCTTGGTGGGTGTTTGTTGAATGAGTGAAGCATTTAGAGATGTAGGGTGTGCTAAAGAGCTCAGAAATGGGATTGACAGCTTCTGTTGGTGGAATTTCAAGACAAGAAGAATCCGTGTAGGGGAAGTGGTCCTGGAGGAGCAGTAAAGTGTGCTGAGCTTTAAAAGCAGAGTTGCAGAGGGGACGATCTCCAGGTGAGGAGAATAGCAATAGTATTTTGAGGTGGAATAGTGAGGTGGAATGGTGACAGGCTTATATGTTACATAGGACTGCAATCGTGGCCATAAGGCTGGAACCACTTGGACAGACAGACCTTGAATGCCAGAGGGACAGTGTGTTCCTGATAGGGCAGACCAAAGGAGCCATAGAAGGTCCCAGATCAGGGGAGACTGTGGTGCAGTAAGTGTAATAAGTGTAAGGAACCTGCTCTCGAAAGCCCAGAAGGGAGAGGCTCAAGTAAGCTTCTCCCCTCCCTGGCAGCAGGCAGGAGCTGAAAAATAGCCTTCAGGACAGTCTGCAGCCTTCCCCTGGGTCCTGTACCGTGCATCTGAGGAGGCAGCACCGCTCCCCCAAGCATGCCTGCATGTGTGACCTACCTCAAAGCCCGGAAGGAGTGTCCGCTTCTCTTCACGGGGAAGTGGATGGTGTCTAGGGGGTGTAGAGCTAGGCCAGTATCTTCCCTCTGGGTGCCCAACTCCTACCCACATCTTAGCTTTTGGGGAACTCCGACCGTATTAAAGGTGACTTCCCTCTCTCCAAGCTTTGATATGCTCATTTACCTTCCAGGTTTGCCTTTACGTCTCTGAAGGCTTTCTCTTCCACCTCCTCTGGAGAGGTAGCTGGGAGTGGGCTTCAAGTGGCCCAGGAGGCCAAGAGTTGGCTTGAATATGAAAAGACTGGATACCCCACAGATCTTGAGCCCTGGACTGTGGAGGGAGAGGGAGTCACAACTGTGTATAATTCTGTCCCCAAATTCACCAGATCAAATTCAACCCAGCCAGCATCACCATGAACAACTCTCTCTCTCCCAATTCCCTTCAGTTCCAGGGGTTCAGAGGGGCAGGCACATGATGGAGAACTCTGTGAGGCAGCCCATGGAGCAATAATTGGGTTTCCCCACTCTCTGGTCTCCCTCCCTTTCCCAGTGTGAAGCTCTTCAAGCAGCTGCTGCGGCAGCAGGTTGGGGAGAAGTAGGGGTAGGGCCCAGCGCTGGATTTTTGCCCCTGGCTGCAACTCTCTGGGGATCGTAGGGAGCCAGGTTCCCGGGGCACATATCAGCACAGCCCATTCCCCTAAGGAGCGACCCCATGCCCAAAGACCCTAATCCGTTGTCAGCAGTGCTGGGCAGAGCTTGGCGTTGAAGGAGGCACGGGGGAGAGGCGGGAGTGCAGAGCGGGCACGTGGTCCAATCTCCTCAGCCCCGTGCATGCCCCCCCCCCACCCCCTGCGAGGAGCGGTTTGCGAGATGGGGGCGGGGCGGGGGGTGGAGAGCGAGCAGCAGGCGGCTCAGAGAGTGGGGTGCTGGCCCGCAGCGGGAGCTGTCCGTGAGACCTAGTGCTGAAGTAGGCGCAGACGTGCCTGGTGCCCGGGGAGTGATACCCGGTGCCCAGTGCCCGGGCAAGCGAAGACCATGACCTTCATGGTGAAGACCATGGTGGGCAGCCAGCTGAAGAACCTCACCGGGAGCCTGAGGGGTGGCGAAGACAAGGGGGATGGGGACAAGTCCGCCGCCGAAGCGCAGGGCATGAGCCAAGAGGAGTATGAGGAGTATCAGAAGCAACTGGTGGAAGAGAAGTGAGTGAGATCCCTTCCCACCTCCAACGACCCTCTCCCACACTCCATCCTCCAGCTGCCCAGCCCACCTCTAGGGTAGTTTCAGATCTCAATCCCTTCCCCTACTTTTCTAGACTGGTAAGAGGCTGGGATGTGCACCTCTAGGTTGCCCTCTGCCACCCCAAGCCACAACATTTCAAACCCAGGGCCCTGCCCCAGCTTCACATTAGATCCAGAGGAAGTGGGGGAAGGGGTGATAGGGGTCTGGGACTGAGTGGGGCACGTGCATTTCTGATGAAACAAGTAATCCTTTAATCCGATCTGGTCCCAATGTCTGGGTCTTCCAAATGGAGCTCTTCTGAGCCTGAGGCTCTGAGAAAAGCGGTGCAGCTGAGGGGGCTCAGAGTCAGGGAGACAGATCCTGAAATGGGGGCACTCGTAGATATTGAATCCACGGATGTTCAGACAATGCTAGAACAGAGAAACAGCTGGAGTGGGGCTAGGGCTAGACTCCAGAGCTGCTTGTGTCAGATCCTGGCTTTGCTTCTTTATAGCTGAGTGATTTTAGGTAATTTACTTAACCTTTCTGTCCCTTGGTTTTCTCTTTTGTAAAGTGAGGATGATAATTATAAAACATGCCTTATATTTATGAGGATTAAATTACTTAATGTAAACTGCTTAGCACAGCACCTAGAACACGGTAAATCATTAAATGTTAGCTATAATTATTTCAGCTGATAGCAGTTTTGTGAATTGCAAAATCTTATTCCCATTCTACAAAAGAGGAAGGTAAGTGACTTACCCAAAGACATGTCCATAACGAAAGTGGTAATGGAGCCAGATACGAAACCAAGTCTGTTTCGAATACTTCCCCCACACACACACCACACCCCCCCCCTCCAAATAACCTGCCAGGAAAGGAAAAGACCCGAGGAGTCCGAGGCTTAGAGGGATATATATTAGGGAGCCAGAATGACCTCCCTCCCATAGCTCTGTCCAGAGGCATGTGCGGAGACTAGAAAGGGCCCTGTGATGGGGGGTTAGGCCGTAAAGAGCAACAGGCAGTTGCCAGGTCCAAGCACCCTCCTGACACACAGGCCCACAGGTGCCCATCTTTTTAGTGCTGGCAATGACTCTGACCCTGTGCCCCTGCAGGATGGAACGTGACACACAGTTCACACAGAGGAAGGCAGAGCGGGCCATGCTACGGAGCCACTTCCGAGACAAATACCGGCTGCCCAAGGTAAGCTTAAGAGATAGGGCTTCGAGGTACATCCAGGCCCCTGAGCCCTGGGCCCTGGACTCCTTTGCCCCACTCTGGGAGCCATGACTCTCAGCTCCTAAGACTCATGGAGAGCTTGGTGAGACCATTTGTTCTTTCACTCCTTCACTCCTTAACTGGAGCCTGCCTAAGCCTAGGATTTGGCAAGGAGGGATAGTCCAGTCCTCTAGAGACTGATAGGTTTGTGTTTCTGGAGCCAGTGAGGGCCCCTTCTGTCCTCCAACCTACACTCCCCCAATACAAGTCAGGTCCAGGCAGATGAAGAGTTGGAAGGCAATCGATTTTACCATGGGGGTGAGGCTCTTGAGGCTTCTGAACACCGGGCAAGGTGGGATGGGAAAGAGAAGGTAGCACCATCTGTGTGCCAGGCACTTAACCTTCACACCCTTACCTAATCCCTTAGTAATTCCGCCAGGTAGCAATCACCCACATCTACAAATAAGGAAACTGAGACTCAGATATATTAAAGGACTTGGCTAAGATAATACAACCAGTGAGTGATGGTGCTCAAGCTTGTGAATGCTGAGCCTTCTCCAGGCCCCTGACTGCTTTCCAGAGTATGGGTCTGTCTGCAGAGAGCAAAGTAACTCCTTGGTTGGCCAAGCAGCCAGGAGGATGCCTCCATTATGCACTGCAGCACCAGATGGGCTGTAAGTGTTCTACTCCTGTTGCCTAAGGAGAGAACTAAGGCACAAGCTAACCCAAGTGCCCAAAACTATGATAGACTCTAAGGAGAAACAGAAACAGCGCTACAGTATACCGACCTTGATCTTCCACCTGAATTAGAAGATCAGATATGTGAATAACACACCCACTCATTCAACAAATATTTCCTGAGCCTCTGGCTGCCTCTGACTCCCCACAGGGCACCAGTCTTTTAGAAGTATCTCAAAGGGAAAACAGGTCCAGAAAGTTTGCCTTTCTGGGAAGTAACTGAGTTAAACATAGCTAGGAATGAAGTCATTCCTCAAATGCTTGCATTAAGCATGTAAGAGACACAACTTCCATTAGGGAACTCTGAGTCCAGTGAAGAGGGAAGACTTGGCTGTGACTGCGTAGGACATAAAGTGGAAAGCCCCAGGGAACCCAAAGGGATGAGGAAGTGCAATGCAACAGTAGATGCCTTGCCAAGAGAGCACAGATGCTGGTATCAGTGCCATGCGTTTACATGTAGCTGTCCCACCTCCAAGTCGTATGGCCATGGGCAAGGTACTTACTTAAATTATCTGAGCCTCAACTTCCTTATTTGTAAAATGGAGAAAACAATACTTACCTTGCAGGGTCATTGTGAGAATTAAAAGCACACGGCTCAATATCAGCCATATAAAAAGTGTTTGATGAATGGTACCCACCACTAGTATTGGTAATGTCCTTCAGTATAGTTAACAATAGTCAATATATGACTAACTATAACAGTTTGACTCCTAGGTATTCCTATTTTGTATCCCCTTCAGTATCTCAGAGTGAAGTAGAGTAGTATAAGGTACAAATGTCAAAAGCTTGATCCTGGGATGTGGGGGTGGGGACTGAACTCACTGGAACATGGGGCTCAAGAACCTAGGAGCCTGGAACCCAGTCCAGGCTCCTCCCTACACCCTCAGCGTGGGGTCCCACAGATCTCCAACTCCAGCCCAACCCTCCCTTCTCTTCAGAATGAGACAGATGAGAGCCAGATCCAGATGGCAGGTGGAGATGTGGAGCTGCCCCGGGAGCTGGCCAAGATGATTGAGGAGGACACAGAGGAGGAGGAAGAGAGGGCCTCAGTCCTCGGGCAGCTGGCCAACCTTCCTGGCTTAGACCTCGGTTCCCTCAAGGACAAAGCCCAAGCCACACTGGGGAACCTCAAGCAATCAGCTGAGAAGTGCCACATCATGTGACTACTTCCCCTGGGGCTGCTCACTGGGGTGATCAGAGGGCTGGGCCCACATGAGTGCTAAGAGCATGCCTCAACTTCCATGGACCCATGCCCCACCTTGTCTTCATTTCCCCTGCACCAGGCTAGTCCCAGGACCCTTGTCTGCTCCAGCCTGCCTTCTCTCCCTCTCCTCTGAGAGTAAAGTCCCCATTCTCCCCCTACCCTTCAGGACTCAGCCTCCCTACTCAGCCTGGGAAGCCTCCCAAGATTGTAGGAATAGGCCCGACTGGCCTTCTCTCGCCATGACCCCAAATTCCTGCACATAGGTGCACCCTTAGAGACACACAGAGGGACACAGAGACCTTGGCCTGTGCAGAGGCAGACACCACAGCTGCATCCTGCCACATACAGACACACACATACACAAGCCAACCCCCTGGTGCCTCAGGCACCAACACTCAGATATGCTTAGAGGGGGCTTTCGGCAGACAAACGCAGCAGACAAGAGTTGAGTTTGAGTCTCAACATTCATTTTCTTTGAAATCCATTGCTCTTTCTGGGCCTCATTTCATCATCTATAAAATGAGGATGAACTCGGTGATTTTTAAGGTTCTTTCTAGCTTGGCCTCCCTGGCCCCTCGTAGTCAACCCACACCTCTCCTTGGGCAGAGCAGCAGCTGCAGTTATAGCATCAAGCAGTTGCCACTGTGGGCTCTGGCTTCTGGCAGCTGAGTGATGCCATGGGAGGGACCAAGTGCCAAGGATGAAGCTGGCAGCGAACAGTAGCCCAGGTGGTTTCAGGCCTTCTCTGAGCCGAGCCCAGGGCCTGGCCTATTTCTGTTTTCTTCCTGTAGAACTCTCTCTCTCTCTGGATTCCATAGTTGGATCTCCTCACTCAGCTCAGTGAAAAATAAAAATTCCAAATGACATGCTTATCTTCGCACTTCTTACTGACCTCCAAGAGTCTTCGGGTTCACAGACCCCCCCAATCCTTCCTTGGAGTGGTGTCCTCTATCTCTTCACCACAGCCTCATGTGGGGCACTAGCCCCTATATGATGTTCAAGCTCCACCCTCTCAGGGCCCTAGGCAGGGGTCCCCCTGCATTATCAAGCACCAGGTCAGACTCTGGGCTTTGAGAATGTGGCAGCCAGCAGGATGGGCAGGGCCTCTGAGGTGTTACCTGAGACCACAGGAGAGGCCACAGATCAACCACAGCTGTCTCTGGCAACTCCTTACCTTGGAAATGGAAGGTATGACAAAAAGAAGGCAGGACAACTGCATTCCAGCCCTGGCACTGCTGTGTGACTTTGAACAGGTCCCTTTCCCTCTCTGAGCCTGTTTTCTCCTCTGTGAAATGAAGAGCCCCCCCCCCATCAAAAAATAATACATGTTTCAAAGGGTGACCATTTGTAAAGCACTTGGCACATGATAGGCCATATCAATAAATGATAACTCATTCTTTAAAATAACTGAAGAGCCCAAATATCATCATGCTCACCTGTGTAGTGTCCGGGGAACCAACCAGGAGGCTCCACAAGCAGGCCATCAGGGGCCTGAACAGGAACGAGGTATCAACATCTCCCCCACCCCACCCCATCCCTGGCACCAGCTTGTGGAGAAGACTTACAGGCGGAACGGCCATCGGAGGGTTTGGTTTCCATTAGGGCCTCTGTTGCAAAATAAGAACAAGGCGCATAAAACCTGTGCAGTAGGTGATGTGGGGAATGTCAGGTGGAAGAGAGACGAGAGGATGAGGAATCAGGAGGGTGAGAGCAGGGAAGGACACAGGCCCAGGATCGGGACAGTGCTGTTGTGGCTGTCATGTTAGGTCCTCCTTGAGCATCCCCGGGCCTAGGCTGTCCCCAGGTTGTCACTGGACAAAAACCCCTCCTGACCTTCCTGAAGCTGGAGGAGACCCAACCCGGGGCCCCAGGCTGTGTGTGTGCGGGGACATGGGCACTGGGCACATGATAGGCTACATTAATAAATGATAACCCATTCTTTATTTTTAATATATTTTATTGATTTTTTACAGAGAGGAAGGGAGAGGGATAGTTAGAAACATCGATGAGAGAGAAACATCGATCGGCTGCTTCCTGCACACTTCCTACTGGGGATGTGCCCACAACCAAGATACATGCCCTTGACTGGAATCGAACCTGGGACCCTTCAGTCCGCAGGCTGACGCTCCATCCACTGAGCCAAACCGGTCAGGGCAATAACTCATTCTTTAACTGCAGCAAGGCCCACGTCAGCACTCCACCTTCCAGGGGCCTCCTGCCTGATGGGTCGGACAGACCCCTTTACCCCCAGTGGTTTACAGGACCAAGGGTGAAAGAGGCAGGGGGACATGGCTGTGAGGAGGCTAGGGTTTGTGTTCACTGAACCCTCACCAAAGAGAATGGCTGGAATCTGGGGTCAGGGAGGAGGTTGAGCCCCCACACTGGTTTTCTCCTCACAGGCTGGGAACCCCAAGAAGCCCTGACCTGTCTGCATGTTCCTGGAACTGGGGAAAGAAGGCTCTGAGGTAGCAGGAGCCAGTTCCATTGCTCAGGCCGAAATGGGCAAGGAAAGCAGACTGAGGGTCCCAAGCTCTGCTGGCCTCCCCCTGCCTCCCCTCACCCTTCCTTCCCCTGCTCTCTGGCTTCTCTGGCAGTCCATGCCCCTCTCATCTATGTCCCTGCTCTCCGGCTCATTCCTGGTTCATACCCATCTTACACCCACCCACCTGCCTCATTTCTAAGCCCTCGGGGCCTACTGAGGACGCCCTCTTCACATCCTATTTCTACTCCCATTTATTTAGATAATTACTTGCTCCCTGACTAGTCCACCTGATATTATGTGAGGACAACAAAGAAAGCCACCTGCTACCAGAACTTCCCTTTTCACAGTGATTAAAATCCCACCAATAAGGCCCCATAGTTTAGAGTAAAGCATTTACCTCCCCAGGTCCTCTCCTCCTCTCCCTCTTGTTCTCTTTCTTTCATCCTTCTCACTGTCCTTCTCAGCTTTGCAGGCAGTCTGAAGATACAGGAAATGTTGAAAGGTGATGATACAGTTCCTCTACACACACACACCCCGCACCCCCTCACCACCACTCTTTCAGGAAGAGAGTGACAGCAAAGATGGCTGGCCTGCTCCCCGTCACCCCCACCCTTAGGTTCTCTAGCCCCATGACATGGGGGATTTCAGGGGATTGGTGGCAAGCCCTGGTACCTGCTCCACTCAAGTCTCCTTCTACCCATCCAGATAGCTCAGGCCTAGTTCCCAGAGGGAGACTCTCCAGGGGCCAGTTGGCCCCAGGGTGGACTTGGGGAGGATGGTGACAGGGTTTGGAGTTGGGAGGCTCCCTCTCCCCCCAGTGGCCATGGTCCCCCCTCAGACACTGGAGGCTCCCAGCGAGCTGGGAACATCTGGGGGAGTGTGTGCTGTGCCAGAGCTGCTGGCAGAGCCTATTGGTCCAGCTGATGCCTGAGGCTGCTTGGGGTGGGGAACTACATGCGAGGGGACTGGGAGAAAGCCACAAAGCCTGCTACCTGCCTCTAGTTCAGTACCCACCAGGCATAGCTGTTCCCAGAACCCATGTGAGGCTCCAAGAGAGCAGAGGCCAGGGTGAGCTGGGTCGGGGAGCAGCAGCATTGAGGCTGCCTTAGCCCTGCTCAGCAGGGATGTGCCTGTGTGTGTGAGCATGAGTAGAAGTCTACGTGAAATCTGCCTGGGTCTGTGAGCTTGGACGTGGCTTCAGTGTTATTGTATGTGCTGAGGCCTGTGGCCTGTTAGTGTCTGTGTGTGTGTATATCTATGATACTTCAAGTGGGTAAGTATGGGTATGAGTTACTCTAGGGAAAGCGTGCCCGCCTCAGTGGTCTTTAGGGATAAGAGTCCTCCTAGATGACTTGCAGGAACCACGGTTCAATGACCTTCCGAAACTCCCGTTAGCCAAGAAAGGGACAGGCTGGGCACAGGGACACCTGGGTCCCTCAATCTGCCCAAGGCCCATCTGCTGTCCCCAGGGCTGGTCCCATGGGAGCCAGTGGGTCCCAGGCCCAGGTGCTCCCCAGCTTGGCCCAGGACTGGCTTTGACTTGGGGGCCTGAGTAGAGGTGGGAGGACAGGGCAGGGTGAGGCACCCTGATGCTGGGGAAGTGTCTGCCCTGCTTTGGGCATTTTCAAAGTGTTAAAGATGAGAGGCAGAAACAACTCCTACCCCTAGAGAGGAAAGTCTTTTTTTAAAAAAGCAGATTGGGTATGCATGCATATAACCAATGGACACAAGACACTGGGGCGTAGAGGAAGCCGGGGGAAGGTCAAGGGGGAAAAAAAAGGAGACCTATGTAATACTCTTTGTAATACTTTAAGCAATAAAACAAAAAAAAAATTTTTTTAAAGCAGATTGGCTTATTCCTCATACGTCTCTGCCATTCGAAGGGAGCCCTAGAGAGTGAACCCACCTCCTCCCGACCTTAGCTCTCTGGCTGGGCTGTTTCCCTCCTTGGCAGGTGGCCCAAATACAGGACCAGCGTGGAGGCACCCAAACACTCTGCCCAGAGAGGGCCCAATCCCCCACAGTCCCACCTGTCCAGTGCCCTGTTGGCAGGTAGTCAATGCAGATATCAGAAATAATTGGGGCCTGTAGACCAACCCCTCCATCCCATCATCCTAGTCAATCAGTCTCTCCTTCCCATTCAATCTTCCCCATTCACCCCCCACAACCAGCTCCATTCATTCCCTTCCTTCCTTTTACTTACTGAGGCTTTTTTTGTCCAGCCCATGCCCAAAGATAATCTGAAGTACATTTCTCTCTCTACATCTGAAAATAATGATTTATTGAATCTTACTGTGTGCCAGGCTAGTGTACAGTAACTCATTACCATCTTCGAGATTTCTACAGGGCCCTTCACTTCATCCTAGTTTAACTGAGAAATGGGCCAGTCCAGCTATTTTCAACCTGTGTGCAGCAATAATTTAAAAAATATGCAATACCTGACTATTTAGTCAGGGGCACTGACCTCTTTTTCTTAGATTGTCAAATTTAAAAAAAAGACAATAGCCACCTGATGTAAATGAATGAAAATTACACATATTTTTTGGTCAGATCAGCAGAAATATTTTTGGAGTGCTGCAGAATTTTAGTAATTAGTTTATGTGTGCCATGAGATGAAAGGGGTTGAAAATCACTGGGTTAGTCAATGGGTCTCTTGGTCAAGTGGCAGAGCCAGGATTTTAGCCTTGCCTCCTGCCTTCTGGACCACTGCTCTACATTGCCCCTCACAGCCAGGCCAAGGACTTCAGGGAAAATAATTCCCTCCCTTTCATGTTGGCTGGAAGGTTATCTTCATGGTTGGCATCTGACAAATCTATGAACTGCTGCCTTGGTGCTTCCCTGGGGCGGGGGTGGGGGGGGCCTTCCTATCCCCTAAGTCCCCAAAGATGCTTCTAAGGGCTGTTAAGACCAAGACCTTGTGGGTGGGGTAGGGACTGCTGGGAATTACCCCAGCTTTTGGGGGCTCCTGGAGGGCTGAGTATGAGATACCCTAGAGCCGTGGTCAGCAAACTGCGGCTCGCAAGCTACATGCGGCTCTTTGGCCCCTTGAGTGTGGTTCTTCCACAAAATACCGACTTCTGCGCATGGGCCATGAAGTTTCAATCACACTGTACGTGCGTGCCCGCACGTGGTATTTTGTGGAAGAGCCACGCTCAAGGGGCCAAAGAGCCGCATGTGGCTTGCAAGCCACAGTTTGCCAAGCCACAGTTTGCCGACCACTGCCCTAGAGAATGCCCTTTGCCCCAACCCTGCTCATTCACTGGCCCAAGGGAAAGAGGGGTGGGAGGCCAGGGATCCTGTGTGGGGCAATGGCTTGTGCAGCGCAGAGCAGAGGTTTTACAGGACTGTGCTCCTGCCATGGAGTCCACCCTTCTCCGGGTGCACAGAGGAAGGGCATTGCCTGGCACCCAGGCCTGTGCCTGTCCCCTTCCCACTAGTCCCTTAGGTGGCGGGAGGAACAGCAGCCGGTCAGCCTGACTCTCCTGGGGCCTGAGGGCAGAAGGCAATGTGGCTCTCACTCCCCACCACCCTGTGGCCTCTCCCAGCCCTCTCTCAGGTTACCCTGTTATTCCTGGAGTCCCTATAGCACTAGCCTAGGAAAAGGAGCTGCCTGCCTTGACCTACTCCTTCTCTTCTTCCAGGGCAAGAAAAGAATCACAAGTTCAAAAAATAATTTAATAAGGAAACAATAAATGATACACTTCATACTGGCCTCTGATAGAGAAGAAAAGACGACCCTTGCCCCAGGAGGCAATGAAGGGTGGAAAGGTTAGAAATCACCAACAGCCAGAGTTTTAAAAACAAGTCCCCAAGTAACCCCAGGTATATACATTGTTCTCCAGATGGAAGTCACTTGGTACTCCTAAAAGCCCACATGGGGGGAGGGGGTTAGGAGATAACAGCAACACCAATGGAGCTGGGAAGACCCAGGCCCAGAAAAGGAAAGGTGCTTGCCCAGGGCACAGGCGGGGTGGCAGCCATGTCAGTCCTGAAGTGTCTCCTGGGCTAGTGGGTCTCCAAAACCTGAGGAGCCGGGCAGCCCCATGCCTCCCTGTGCCAGGCCAGGACCAGCTCTGCAGAAAACAAGGGCTGCTCCCTCAAGGGAGATGAAGGCTGGAGGGGTGAGGATGAAGGACCTCCCTGCAGACCCTCTGGGGCAGGGCAGGAACAGGCATGAGTTTCTTCAATTTGCCCCATCCTTCGAAATATATTCTTTTCATGGCTTGCAGGATTAACTTAAAATACTGAGACAGGGTGGACAGACATCAGCTTCCAAGATGACTGGTGTTCTGTGGGGCTGAGTGCAGACCATGGGGGGGTGGTCCCTGAGCGCCCTGGTCCACTGCGAGGACAGAGGCGAGTTGAAATAAGGGCTCCCAGGAAGGAAAGGGGTGGGCACAGGCTACATCTGAGCCTTCATGCCCTAAATTGACAGGCTCAGGGTCCAGCAGTCACCAGTTAACCACAGTCACATGAGACACTTCTCCCAGAGGTCTGCTCCCTCCCCTGGGGCCAGACCCAGTGCTCCCAGCCCATAAAGGGCTGGGCCATCAGAGCCTTTGCGGGGTGGAGGGCATCCTGAGGTTGTTAGGGACCCTGGGACGCAGTGCTCACAGGGTTGCCCATCCAGGAAGGCTACCCCGCCAGACTGCAGAGGGCCACAGAATTCCGGGCAGCAGCCTAGGTGTGTCCCCCAACTTCAGGTGGCCCATGGTCTGTGCAGTCATCTTTCTGTGGTCACTGCAGGGTGCAAGCTGTGGAGGGGTAAGGGAGAAGGGTCAGTGTCAGGTCTCTGGCAAACAAGGCAGAATCCAGGGCTGCCCTTGGCCTTCACTCCTCCTGGGGCAGAAGGTAGGACCCTAGGCAGGACTCACAGGTCCGAACAGACTCCAACAGCCCCTCCTTGTCCAAGGTCTCGGCTTCCCAGTGAGACTCCCTCATCTGTGGAACAAAAAGGTGGCACCGAGGTGACAGGCAGCCAGGGGCAGGCAAAGGAGCCGCATCAACAGTCCCAGGGCAACTGGGAGTGAAAGACAGACAGCAGTGGAGAGGCCTGCAGATGGAACCCGGAAAGGGAGACACACGGGGGAAAAGGGGGGGCAGAGAGCTACAAGCAGAGGAGCGGAAACCACACAGCCTTGCCCCAATGGGACCTCCCATGTGCTCACCTTGACTTGCTCTTTCAGGTATTCAGCTCGAGCCATGAGGTTCTGAACCTGCCAAGGGAAGACATACGTGCCCACGGGGCTGGGGGTGGGGCCCTCAGAGTGAGACCCTCCTCACTCCTGCTGCTCTCTAGAACCCCCTGCCCCAGAACAACTGCATTCTGTGTCCTTTATCTGCTCCCTCCTCCAGAAAGCCTTCCTGACTGAAGTGGCCCAGCCAATTTTCTGTTGCTGGGTCCCCTGATCCTGCCCGTCCCACTGCCTGACCTGAGCTCCTAGCCCCTGTGAACCGCATGTGGCCAACAACCTATCAGGTCTGTAAGGTCTGACTCCCAGACTTGAAACACCCCGAGGGAACCCAAGAAGGTCCTCCCAGATGGAAGGAGGGTCAAAGGGGAAGATGAAGCCCCCCACAACCCACCCAACCCCGGTGGGCACCTCAGTGTGAAGCAGTTCCCGCCTCCGGCCTGGGGGCTCCCCTGCAAAAAGAGGGAGGGTGCGTGCTAAGGGCAGGGCAGCAGGGAGTCAGGGAGTGTGGTGGTGAGGGCCTCACCTGCCAGCAGCAGCAGCAGCTCCCCCAGGCTGTGCTGGTACAGGTCCAGGGCGTCCTGCTCCCCACCAGCTTCCTCCTCCTGCAGCCACAGAGACACCAGTCATTTAGGGTCATGATCTCGATTCCTCCCTGCCCCACCTGGACCCCTCCCACTGGGTACAAACCTTGGCCACAGCAGCTGAAGCCACTTCCAGAGCAGCCAGGAGGCGTGGCTTGTCCCGAGCCATCTCTGGGATGAAGGGCAAAGGCTCAGGGTGAGGGGAGCAGCTTTTCTCATCTCAGGGAGCTGACCCCAATCCGCCTGGGGGCCTGGTGGTCAGTCAGGAGCTGGGCCTACCTCTGAGCAGGTCTTGGGCAGAGGCCCCCTGTCTCAGCAGGGCCTGATTGGAGGAGGACACAATGGCCTTGAGCTCCTCAGCCCGGGACACGTACTGTCGCACCTGCAGGAGCACGAGGGGCTGAGGAGGAGGGGCTGTGGAGGGGCTGTCCCACCCTGCCTCCCTCGCCAGCATCCACATGCAAGTTCTCCCTCTAGGTCAGTGATGGCGAACCTATGACACGCGTGTCAGAGGTGACACGCGAACTCATTTTTTTGGTTGATTTTTCTTTGTTAAATGGCATTTAAATATATAAAATAAATATCAAAGATATAAATCTTGTTTTACTATGGTTGCAAATATCAAAAAATTTCTATAAGTGACACGGCACCAGAGTTAAGTTAGGGTTTTTCAAAATGCTGACACGCCGAGCTCAAAAGGTTCGCCATCACTGCCCTAGGTCCTCAGTGACTGTCCCAAGCTGAAATGTCAGGGCCCGGCCTGACCCCTTCCCAGGACAGGAAGTCCCGGTTCTAAGAGAGCCAGTCTCAGGCAGCCCCAGAACCCCTCATCAGTTTCCTCCAGGGAACTTGCTCACCCACCTTTGCCTTAATTGCCTCCTTCCGCTGTGCATCCACTTCGTCTGCAAACAGTGGTGGTTTATATGAGGACCCTGCCACACACCAAACCCTCTAGAATCCTCAAAAGCACTAAGTTCTAGATTTATCCTCTGCCTTGTCTCCCATAAAATTATGAATGGGGACATGCTTCTGGAATCCATCCACAGCAGCTATGGCCACCCACCCCTGCTACACCCAGAGCTCTATGCACTTACAGTGCAGGGCAGGCACAAAGAAGTCCAGAGCCTTGCAGTAAAGTGATAAGGCAGCCGCAGCATCCCCCTCCTGGTCCTTCTTCACAGCCTGCACCACCAGGATGGTCTGGAGGATGGGCAGATCAGGGAGTCATGCCCACCCCTCTGCTTACCATAAAGTGGGAACAGCAGGTCCCCTGAGCCCACCCTCGTCCCCCTGGGGGCAAGCCCCCTGTTTACCACCAAAAAGTGTAGATGAGACCCCCAACCTGCCTTCACCCCAGCCCATCCCTAGTGGCCTGCTCACTGCTCGTGCCAGGCTCTCCTCACTGGGCATGTGGTCCAGGTCCACCCAGGGGTGGGCAAAGAAGTCCTGGAAGGAGATGCGACGACCAGGGTCCCGCTCTAGGAGCCGCCGCAGCAGGTCCTGGCAGTCTGGGGAGAGCTGGGGTCGAAGGGGAAGCTGAGGGGAGGGTGGGGGACAGGTCACACTGGGCTCCAGAACCTCCCCAACCCTGTCCTGGTATGTCCCAGAGGTACATGTCTGACAGGTGGAGAATCTGAGAGCCAAGAGGAACAGTGACACGTCTGGGTGATGAAGGCAGTAGAGAGCCAAGCCTCCTGCCCAGGCTCCTGCCCACGCCCTCCCTGGAGCCCTGAGCTGTCGTAGAATCCTAATTCGGGTTCTCCCCTCCCAGGCTGATGCTTTTGGGAAGACTGGGCCTGGGTCTACACAATCTGTGGGCTGATCTAGGTCCCTAGAACTGAATGGAGCTTCAAGCACGCCCAGCACAAGGTACCTAGAGCCCACACCCGAGTCCGTGCAGGGATAGTGAGGTCTCCAACCTGAGGGCTCTGCTTCCCTCTGTCCCACAACAGGTTGCTGAGGCCCTGCAGGACCCACCTCGATAACCCGATTACTCCGGATCTTCTCTTCCAGCTCTGTGAACGACCTGGAGGCAAAGGGGGGCTGCCCGAAGAGGGCTTCTGTGGAGGGAGGCAGAGGGCAAGCTGGGAGGGACAGGGTGCAGCCTGGCCTGGCCCACTCCTGGGAGGGCCTGATAACCCCCAGAGCAGGGGCTCAGGGCCATTAAAGTCAGCCTTCTCATTAAAGCCCTTCAGGAGTGGCCAGGGAGGGCATGCCTGAGGACACACAGTGCAGGCCTCACAGGGTGGGGGCAGGGGACAGAGCTCTCACCATACAGAATGACCCCCACGGACCAGAGGTCCACACGGGCATCGTACTGCCGCTGACACACCATCTCGGGGGCCATGTAGAGAGGGGAGCCGCGGAGCACATGCTTCTCGTCCCACGGGGACATGTGCTGCGAGAAGCCGAAGTCTGCAGGCAAGAGGCCAGGCAGCAGGGCTCAAATTCCAGCTGCCTCTGCTCTTGGCCTTTGAAGCCTTACCCTGAGCTCCAGCACAGGACTCCTCCCCACCTTCCAGATTCACCAGGATCAATCCTACTTCCCAGTCTTAGCTAACTATTAACCTCCAACACCCTCCTGCATCTTTCAGTGGGGGCATAAGTCCTACCCATCACACACAGCCCCCCTCAGGTACTTTTCCAGGAAGCCCACCCTGCTCACATCAGCTATGAAGATAATGGCTCACTGTCCCACCAAGCTCAGGTTATACCCTCTCTAGCCTCAAGCAAATTCTTTTCCAAATCCTATCAGGGACCACAACCACCCCTCCCCCACCTAACTCCCTCCAACACTGCTGCAGGTTGAGTTACAGCTTGAGCTTCAATTCTGGTGACCCACCAAATCCTGGCCCTGATCCCAAGCATTACACTGCTGGAATCCAGTGTGGATGGCTGAGAAAGGCCCTACCTTTTGGTGATGGGGCCCGTTTCTGGATCTCCCAGCCTGTTGCTGTTGGATGACTCGATAGAGGGCGCCACAAGAACCAGGGCTGCTGAGTGCACACCCACCCTCCAAACCCTGAAGCTCCATTCAGTTCTAAGGACCCAGAACAGCTCACAGATTGTTGTGGAGACCCAGGCCCAGCTTTCCCCTGCTGTTCCAGACTCACACCTGCCAGTTTAAGGTGGGGCTTCTCCAAGGAGCTCAGCAGAATGTTCTGTGGCTTCAGATCCAGGTGAGATATGTTTCGTGCGTGCAGAAACTGCAGGGCACTAGCTGGGGAACAGGACACATGCAGAGAAACAGGTCAGAGGGACCCATCTCCCACCTGCCTCTCGCCGTCCCTGACTTACATCTGCTTCTTCAAGCCTGCATGACCCCAGTTCTGGCCTTCTGAATGCTTTACATAAAAGTACCAGGTTCCTGCCACTTCTAAGAACCCCCCACTCCCACCCCCAGTGCCATCTTTCCTCCCTTGGGCCCCTCTGCAAGTCTCCTCTCCTCCTAGAAGCCTCCCTGGGTGCCTCAGCCCTTTCGACTTTTGCTCTTTCTTTTGGCAAAGCACTTAGATACAACCCAGTGGGCCCTGATGTGTCCTACAAGGTCTTTCTATTATCTTCTGCATGTAGAAAATCTGGACTTCTTACAGCTTAAGGCTCCTACCTTTCTCTAGTAACAGCCTTAAGCTAGGGATGGGCACATGGCAAAGACAGGGCCTATAAATCCGAGCTGGGAAAGGAGGCAACTGCTAAGAGCGCAGCGGCTCCGAGCCTGGGTCGGGTGCAGAGGGAGGACAGAGACCATGGGAAATCTGGGGTCAGAGGTTCTTACCTATCTGCTGCATGAAGACACGAGCCACCTTCTCAGGCAGAATCCGGCGGGTATGGATGAAGCGAGACAGGTCACCTCCTGCACAGAACTCCATGATGAGGTAGATGTTGTCACTGTCCCACTGTGGTTAGAGGCAAAAAGGCAACTTGAAGGGAGTGTCTCTTCTCCAGTCTCCTTTGCGGGTGGCTGAACCACAGGCCCGCACCTGGAAGTCTTTCAGCTGGACGATGTGGGGGTGTCGAATGCCCTTGAGGATTTCAATCTCTGTCAGGAGGTTTTCCACAGATGCCTTGTTCAGGCTCTTCTTGGCCACACATTTTATGGCTACCACCTCTCGAGTGTCCTTCTACGGAGGCAGGAGATTTGAGGGATCTACCTTGAGCAAGCCAGGGCCCATGCCTGGCCAGAAAGGCTCTGATTCCCTCTACCCTTCTCCCCCTCACTGGGCTTACCCACTCACACCAGCATCCAACCTTCCCCTTCTCAGGCTAATGAGAACCCCTGTTTATGGGATTCTGGCCTCCCCACCCAGCCTGGTGTTCTTAAACCCTCTCTTCCCTTAGTCCCATGAGCCCTTCTAGAGTGCTCCCACTAAGGCATGTCCTTCATTCCATGTTCTAGAACTGCCCAGATTGCTTCCTAAGTGGGTCCAGCCTTCCAGAACCCTGTCCAAGACTCCTCCCAGCCCACCAGGTGTCCTCCCAGTCAGGGCACATACAAGAATCAACCAATGAATACATTTGAGCCCATTCTTAAGACACTGACACGAGGCTCCCTCCAGGTCTCCACCTGCATCTCCAAACAAAACACAGGTGTGGGTATGTGTTTGTGTGTACGTGTTTGTTTTTAAGACCTATGGGGGGCAGTCAGCTCCCACCTCGTCCACCGAACACCAGATCGGGACAAGTCTGGCCGCGGTACCTAACTGCTCTCAGGCCCTAACCTCCCTGGGTTCCCAGCCTGCCACCCTCCTGGGCTCGCTCAGGGTCTGGCGGGCACGCGGCCCGGCGCTCAGAGGTTCTCAAGCCCGATTCCGGCTGCGCCTCGCCCCCACCTTGGCGTAGGCCTTGTACACCGTGGCGTACGTGCCACTGCCCAGGCGCTCTGTGAGAATGAAGCCATCCAGCCGCGGGGGACCCCAGCTGGACCCCGCCATCCTGACCACCCCGCGCCAGCCACCGGGCGCTTCCTGCTTCCCGGGGCGGGTTCCGGCCCGGAGTCCAGCGCGGAGAGCGGAAGAGCGCGCGCAGCAACTGCCCGACTCCTCGCTGCCGCCGGAAGTGCACCCGGAGGGGCGGGGCCAGGCTCCCGGGTCCTAGAGACTCTTCCTCCCGCTGCTTTCTGCGCGGCTCGGTTGAGTGCTGCCCCTCCTCGGCCGCCGTCAGCACTAGAAATCACATGATCCGCAAGATCCACGTGAGGATGCTGAGGCCCCCTCGGGCCAAAGGGAGGAACTAGAGACCAGCACACGAGGTCATCAGGAATCCCATTTGGGCTCCGTTACGATCTTAGAGATCGCCCACGAGAGGATCAAGAAGGGTGAGGGGGGCAGGGGATTCAAAGAGGCCCCTCCTCCCAAGACGAGCAGCTCTGAAAGTGGAATTACTGGGACATGTGCCAAGGTTGCAGACATCCCCAGTCAGGGCACATACAAGAATCAACCAATGAACACCTAAATGGAACAACAAATCTGTTTCTCTCTCTCTCTCTCTCTCTCAAATCAATAAAATCTGTGAGAATATTTTTTTAAAAAATTTAAAAAAGTATAATGGAAGAGGCCAATAGTTATCTCAGGAAGGGACTTTCCCCCAGGGGTGAGAGGCTTAGCCTGTCACAGACCAGCCAGAGACGGGGGGAGGGCAGTGTTATAGGTTGGCTCAGCGAGATAGACCACCGACTCAGAATTTAAATTTTAAGAGCCTTTATTAAGCTGGCCAGCTGACTACCAGCTGTGTCCCTCTCGTAAGAGTCCCACAGCTTGCAGTGCCGTCCGAGAGTACAGCAAGACCTTTTATCTGCAAAGACTTCAAAGTATTTTTTAAAAAAAGAAAAAACAAACTGCAAAGCGGTTCATTAGCCGTTCCTGGTACTGGCAGGGTAAAAAGTTTACATAAAATTTACAAGCAGGGTCACACTTGGCTGGGTTCAATCATAACACATTGCTTTTCTGGCGAGATAATTAGCAATTTTTCTCTCCCATGGTCCCTGCCCCTCAGCCTACTTAGTAATTCTTCTTTGTCAGGCCCCTGCCCCTAGCACAGGCAGCATGTTGACTGACCCCTCACACCTATAGATAGAGCACTTCAGCCACTACTCCTGGGGGCCATGCACATCCATCCAAGTCCAGCAGACATTAGAACCAGTGTTGTCTGAAAATGTCTTTATTTAAGCACAAAATTGAAACAACATATACATTTGTACATGGAGAAAAAAAGTACCAGAAATTTACAAAACCTTGGTCACTGTCATTAAATCATCATTCAGTGGCTCTGGAGTGGAGTGGGCTATAGACAGGGCTGCCTCTGGATTGGCCTTTTTGAGAAGTTCCCTCAGTCCACAGCAGGGCAGGGTGCAGGTGTTAATGGTGGACTCCTAGGTGCTCTTCACAGTGACACACTTCCTGGGGAATCCCTAGGACCAGTGGAAGGTGACCTAGACTCTACTCCTACTCGGGGTATGGGAGAACCCTGGAGGATGAGTCTGGAACCCTGGCTCATGAGACCAGTCTGAAGGATTCAGTTCTGAACTGATTCGACCTGCCCTTCCTAAGAGTCATACAAGCTAGATATTGCTGATGTGGGAACAAATGGTTAGAATGTGAGGCCAAGGTAGAGCACAGCTGTCCCCCAGGAGAAGAGGAAATCAAAACAAACGGACAAACAACCCACACCGGGACAGTCACACACACTCCTCCTAGAAGATTGTTAAAGGCTGGGCAGGACAACACAGGTTGTCCTCTGTTCCTGCCCATCCCCAAATCCCAACCAACCCCAATGCACATTCAGTAAGTCTAAGGAGGGGAGGGTTCAGGGAGGGCCCCAGATGGCACAGGGTGCTGCCCACAGCTGGAAGGTGCAGGGGGCCGATAAGGCAATGAATCTGTTTGTGAGAGACATGAAGCAGAGAAGAGGCTGAGGAACTGGCCAGAGGTTCTGGAAGCCCAGAGACCTAATCAGAGTGATCTGGGGGAACAGAGCTGTCCACCAGCCCAGGCCATAGCTCATCTAAAGGGGAGCCCTTGGAAGGTCATCCCAGCCCAGCAGGAAGGGAGGGCAGGACTATGGAAGCCACAGGCTGGGGCTATGAAGCCAGATTCAGGCCAGGTTTCTAGGGGATGAGTGGAGGCCCAGGACCCGGGCAGAAATACAACGCCAGCTGGGTGGGCCCAGGTTGGCTAGTGATCCCAAGTGTGTACATATGTGCATGTGTGTGTGTGTAGGGAAAAGAGAACTTCAGTCCCACTGCTTCAGAGGGACAAAAGAATCCTACCAAACCACCACCAGAGAAGAAAAAACTTTTTTTCCCCCTTTCTCTTATGGAAAAAAAGTTCCTGTCCCTCCCTCCCCTTCCCTTGGGTGGAAGGGAAAGCTGGTTGCTGAGGAAGGAGGAAGAGCCACAGCAAGACCCTCTCCAGGTTTGTGCTGGCCATAGCACTGCTTAAGGCACCCACGGAAAGTGCAGCTCAGAAGGCAGGCAGGAAAAATGGCTGGGGCACAGGGAAGAGAGTCAGGACTAATTCCCTTGGAAGGCTCCTCGGGCAGCAGATGAGGCAGCGCTGCGGAAGGTCCTGTTGCTGAAGATGCCCTGGGAAAATTCCTCTTGAGCTTGCTGGAAGCTGGCCCCAGTCCGGCGGTACAGAGAGTGCACCTGGGGAAAAAGGCTGTGGTAAGAGAAGCCTGTCCTGTAGGCCCACAAGGAACCCATGCCTGCCTGACCTCCCACCAGAGCCTTGGAGAAAGCCACTGGACGTTTGGGGACATAGGAGTCCCAACTGCTGTAGTGATGAACACCCCCATGGCAAGGCTGGAGAGAGGAGCCTGCTTCCTCAGGTTAGCTGTTGGCCCGGCACCCACCACTCACCCGCTTTAGAAGGAAGAGTGAGAGCACAGCACAGAGTGTGAAGAAGCCAGCTACCACCATCATGATGATCGACACAGCCAAGTCTTGCTTCAGCGTAGACAGGGCTGCAATCCAACCACTACAAAGGGAAGAGGAGGTGAGAGGGTATAGTAGAAGTGGGCCCCAGAGGTCCTATGAGGGGCTTTTCTCCACTGCCCACATGGAATCTTTGGGCCATGTGAGATCTGGAAGGGATGTGGCTGCTGACCTCAGTCAGGAGCAGCACTTTACCTGCTGTTTTGGGGGCTTGGGGGGATATGGAAAGTATGGCTGATCATTCCCGACGGCCCACCCTCTGAAAAAGAGAACTACTGGCCAACGAACTGCATTCATCCTATCACCTCAGCTCCTCCCACTGGGGCACAGGGACAGGCTCCTCTGCCTGCGAACATGTCTCCTTCCTGAGCTCCAGCTTTTTCATCTATAAAAGGAAATATCCTCACACTTCATGAGTTAAAAACTTACTACCGAGCTGCAGTTAACAAAACAGTGTGGTACTGGCATGAGGACAGACATATACAATATAGAGGTTGATGGAATAGAAATAAGAGCCCAGAAACAAACCCACACATCTACCATCAACTGGTTTTCACACATGGAGCTGCAGTTAACAAAACAGTGTGGTACTGGCATGAGGACAGACATATACAATATAGAGGTTGATGGAATAGAAATAAGAGCCCAGAAACAAACCCACACATCTACCATCAACTGGTTTTCACAAGGTGCCAAGACCACTCAATGAGGAAAGAATGGTCTCTTCAGCAAATGGTGCTGGGCCCTGGCCAGTGTGGCTAAGTAGGTTGAGCATCATCCCATGCACCAAAAGGTTGCCAGTTTGATGCACAGTCAGGGCACATGCCCAGGTTACGGGCTCCATCCCTGGAAGGAGGCGTGCAGGAGGCAGCTGATCAATGTTTCCTTCTTATTGATGTTTCTCTCTCCCTCTCCTCTTCTCTCTCTTAAAATCTTTTTTTTTTTTTTTTAAGGAAACTCTCGCAGACATTTGCTAAACAGGCAGCGTTGCCTGGGGGGAAGACAGCTGAACAACCCTATTGGAAAACACCTTGCCCCAGAGTGTTTCTGAGGCCCATTAAGAGACTGAGAATAACAATTAGCCTCCAGGCAGAAGCAATTGCCCCCACCCCTTGAAAAAACTCTCACCACACCTGTGGACAATTGCCTGAGGGCTATTCAAGACAGAATCCTATCAGGCTGTAGGCAGAGGGGTCTCTGGAAGCATTGAGTCTTTGCCTGATCTAATTAGCTAGAAACAGCGTTTGACACTGTCCTGCACTAGAGAATGAGAGGGGTAGCAGATCTACCTAACACAGAGTCACAAACCCAAACAGACAGCCAAAATGAGGAGACAAAGAAACAACCCACAAATGAAAGAACAAGAGAATTCTCCAGAAGAGATAAATGAAATGGAGATAAGAAATTTATTTGATATAGAGTTCAGAATAATGATGGTAAAGATGCTCAACAGCATGAGAAAAGATATAGTAACTATAAAAACAGAAATAAAAAATGACATAGCACAAATAGAGAACACACTGGTTTTGTTTGTTTGTTTTTTAAATATATATTTTATTGATTTTTTACAGAGAGGAAGGGAGAGGGATAGTTAGAAACATCGATGAGAGAGAAACATCGATCAGCTGCCTCCTGCACAACCCCTACTGGGCATGTGTCCGCAACCAAGGTACATGCCCTTGACCGGGATTGAACCTGGGACCTTTCAGTCCACAGGCCGACGCTCTATCCACTGAACCAAACCGGTTAGGGCCACATTTGGTTTTTATATTTAAAATATTTTTTCTTGAAAGAAATAAATTTTCACTTCTAAAAACAATCTTATAAAACTTAAAAAAAAAACCCACACACATTGGAAGGAATACACAGCAGATTAGGGGAAGCTGAGGGTCAAATCAGTGAATTAGAAGACAGAGTTGAAAAAATCACTCAACCAGAGAACCAAAAAGAAAAAAAACAATTAAAAGAACAGGAGGACAGCTTAAGGGAGCTGTGGGACAACATGAAACCTAACAATATTCACATAACAGGTGTGTCAGAAGAGGCAAAAAGGGAGAAAGGAATAGAGAATGTGTTTGAAGAAATAAGTGTAGAAAACTTCCCTAACCTAGTAAAGGGAAAGGTCACACAAGTTCAGGAGGCACAGAGAGTTAAAAGTAAGAAGAACCCAAACAGACCCACACCCAGACATATCATAATTAAAATGCCAAAAATTAAAGACAAGGACAGAATCTTAAAGGCACCAAGAGAAAAGGCAAACTATTACTTACAAAGGAGCTTCCATAAGGCTGACACCTGATTTCTCATCAGAAACTCTACAGGCCAGAAGGGAATGGAATGAAAGTACTCAAGATAATGGAAAGCAAGGATCTGAGACCAAGTTTCCTATATCCAGCAAGGCTATCATTAAAAATAGACGGTCAAGCCGAAACCGGTTTGGCTCAGTGGATAGAGCGTCGACCTGCGGACTGAAAGGTCCCAGGTTCGATTCCGGTCGAGGGCATGTACCTGGGTTGCGGGCACATCCCCAGTGGGAGATGTGCAGGAGGCAGCTGATCGATGTTTCTCTCTCATCGATGTTTCTAACTCTCTATCTCTCTCCCTTCCTCTCTGTAAAAAATCAATAAAAATATATTTAAAAAATAAAAAATAAAAAAAAATAAAAATAGACGGTCAAATAAAGAGCTTCCAAGACCAAAAAAAGACTAAAGGAGTACATCACCACCAACCCAGCATTACACAAAATGCTAAAGGGACTGCTGTGATGAGAAGAAATAGAGAGAGAAACCTAGGCATACAGAATTAAAATGGCAATAAGTAAGTACCTATCCTATCTAATAAAACACAAAAAAGGTAATTAACCGTACCTCTGCTATGCTTCCCATTGGCTAATCAGCGAGATATGCAAATTAACTGCCAACAAAGATGGCGGCCGGCAGCCACGCAGCTGAAGTGAGCAGGAGGTTTGCTTGCTCCAGTGATG